CCAGGAGTCTTCACAAACTGCCAAAAAACAGTGCACCATTTATTTTCACAAGGAGCCATCGAGAAGGTGAAAGCCGCCAAAGCCATTGAACTCGATGGAGTCTGTATGTTGATGCTGAAATATTTAGGGCCCGCGGGAGTAGTATACTTATTGGAGGTAATCAATCTGTCAATGGCCACTATCATCATTCCTGACGTATGGAAATCAGGGAGAGTGGTCCCAATGCTGAATCCGGGGAAACCCGCCAACAAACGAGACTCATATCGCCCGATAACGGTCCTTTCCCCGGTAGCGAAGGCACTAGAAGCCCTGCTACTCTCGTACTTCACCCACCACCTGACCCCAAACAAGTATGACACGGCCATGTTAAAAACACCAGACGGTTAACATTGAAAAAGGATAGGGCGTGAACTAGCAGCTTTCCCTGAAGGGAGATTTTTGTAGTAGCATGTGTATGTGAACAATGAATTTAATTGTTATTTTGCCATGTTGGCGGTTGCTGCAACTTGGTATATTTATATGTTCTTGATTGCACTCTTTTGATTTAATTTTCATTTTATTGAAAACATTGTTGTTAATTTATTTACTTATTTATTGAATACAGATTTATTGAATACATCTAAATTTAGTTATTTTATAAATTCATATGAACAATGCTACATATATAATTGTATTCAATTGACTTTGTTATGCATACATATTTAGTTAGTTAATATGTAAATTAGGTGCTCTATTCTGTAAATGTAATTATGGAAAATTTTGTATGAAACGATGTATGTATTTGTATATTGTATTTGTAAAACAAAATTGTAGGCAATCAATGTGTACATGTTTAAAATTGCACAAATTTATAAATTTGCATGAATATATGCGGACACTTCTTCTCCACAAATTAAGTGCGAAATGGGCTTTTGAACACCTAAATATTACTAGGGAAGCAATAAAATAAAATGTTTAGTATTCATTTCCAAAAAAATCATGGAAGTGGCAAAATATGAAATTATTTTTGCCGGAAAGTTTTAAATGAAAATTTTTCGAGTATAATGAATGTAAAAATTATAACCGAAATTAAGTAAAAATAAAATAAAGTAAAAGTGTATGATACCACAAAACATTTTTCTAAACTACTAATATTCATATCCTCCGCTTACACTTGCAGGAAAAGTCCTTCGTAACAAAATTGTCAATTCTGGCAACTATCTGGAAATCTCTTTTGGTCTTTCGGAAGACTAATGAAAGTCTGCTAACGAGGACGTTACTCTATTTCTCTTTAAGAAATAAGTTTTATAAAAATTTAATGAAATTCGGATCAGTATACATATATATGTTTTTCTTTTTAAAACAATAAAAACTAAAAACATGGGAAAATTAAATTGAAAAATAAAAAAATATTTGAAGAGAGATTATATGAAATTAAAAAAAATATTGTGTTTTAACAATAAAAACAGACTATTAATGGAAAAGTTAATTAAAATAATCTTTTTCAAAAAATTAAAATAAAAAAAAAATGATTTTTTTTAAACAATATGCATAATCAAAACGTTAAAATAAAATTAAATAAAAAGAAAGAAAATATAAATTTTAAAGAAAGGACAGAATTTATAACTAAAACAATGAAGGTTAAATTTTTGTTAACAATTAAGTCTGAATATTAAAGGAAAAGTTAATAAAAAAACTCTTTTCTAAAAATTTACAAATAAATGAAATCAAAAAAGAAAAAAATAATTTATAAACCACTTTCCGTCAAAAGAGCTTTTCATCATGAATGTAGGTAAGCAGTTTTTTTTTGCTGAAAAAAATATAATATGAAGATTCAAAGAAAATTTAATAAAAACGTACGAATAAATAAAAGTAAAAATAAATAAGTTCCTAAAAAAAGAGAACAATTAAATCAAATAAAAAAATTAAAAAAATATTTTTATTGAAAAAAAGAAAAAAGTCCGCTGCTCGAGGACTCGAAACCGAATCTCTTTAAGACTTCACCCAATTTTTTACTTTCCTTTGCCACTCATCCAATTACGTAATGTTATTTTGTTATTTACTCTTCACTCCATTACAAAAGGCTCAATCTTTCAAGTCGCAGAGCATCTGACAGCATATGAACTTAGTGCTAGTTGAAGGTGTCAAATGCCAGACATGAAGAACGCTTTCATTGCCATTTTGCTGTTTTATTGTTTCTTTATAATGAACTCAAATTACCAAAATTCTGTGCTTGAAGTATATTAAAAAGGTCGTTTAGTAATTGACGTCCGCTAATGCCCCATTGATGTTAGCAATTAGTGGAATGTTGGCTGTTAGCTTCAAATAATGCCAACTAGTTACATACATACTCGGCCGCTGTGGTGTAGTGGTTAGCAGTGCGCGCTTCCACTCCGCAACGCTTGGGTTCAAACCCTGGTCAAAGCAACATCGAAAAAAATATAGAAAAAAGGTTTTTTCTTAACAGCGGGCGTCCCTCGGCAGGCAATGGCAAACCTCCGATTGTATTTCTGCCATGAAAAATAGCTTCTCATAAAAATACAATCACCGTTCGGAGTTGGCGTAAAACTGTAGGTCCCTCCGCTTTGTGTGACAACATCAAGGCGCACGCCACAAATCGGAGGAGAATGCACTTTATTATCTTAAAATTGAATGGGCAACAAAAGCGCATAGAAATTTTTCTAAAGATTCTGAATAAAAAGTTAGGCGAGTGTATTCTAATGACCGCCAGTGTATTTTCCACATATCTTAAGCAAATGTGAAGCAAAATCTAAACTCAACAGATCGCTAAGTTATTACAAATTCTTATAATTTCTGGGTAATGGAGTACATACAAAATGAAATTTTGGTGTTTATGCGAACTTACGCGAAGTATGCATAATCAAACCATAACTTTTGCTTAACCTCCCATTACTAACATTAATTTTACAATACGGTTACTAACATCGTTCCCTCCAAACGAAGTGCAGACAATATTAATTTACTCACATTAACCCAAATTTTTAATCCGATTTTCACACTTGCCTTGGTTCCGATCAGCCAATTTTTTTTTTAATTAATTGTTTTCTGCTATAAAATTAAAATTTTGTTTACCGTGGTCACAAAGGACCATATTCTTATATAACGCAGAAGCTTCCAATTTTCAATGGGATTTGGGGGGAATAATTTCCCGTCGAAGCATTGCCGGGCGGCTCGTAGAACAAACACAGATCACTGTAGCCAGCACAAATAAACGTACACGATATTTCTTATGTCAGTATGATATTAGCGCAAATCAACAATCCGCCAAATAGAGAATGTGCAACAAATTTCTAGGTAAATACCACCACAAGAAAGGCCTGTAATATATGTGCATCGGTCTCACAGACCGAATCATAAAACCACAACGGCATCAACCACACCACTGATCAACCGAAAGATGTACACAGAAATAAAGTTCAAAAAGCTTAACTCTGTTGTACAGAAAGCTTTTATAATGTGCTCGGTCTGTGAGACAGCATGTTAAAGGGAAGGTTAAGGGCATCGCTACTGTTGCAGTATTAAAACTGAGGGCCTGACGAAAAATGAAAAAAAACGAATATAAAAATTATCGCCAATATATGGGCTAAGAAACAACTTAAGGGCTTATACAATCAAAGTTGTTCCTTAAAGCTATAGAAAATATATTTTGTAACAAAGTATAAAAAACTCAGTTAATCAAACTATTTATTTAATAATACATTATTTCAAGTAGGTTAACAATCATTTTAATTAAATATTTTAAAATAACCCTGTAGATAATTTCGTTTATACACTTAGTGGGGAATAGTTTAAATTAAATTTAATTTATCTAATGCAGCCAATTATTGGTGAACGTAAATGATAACCTACAAATGTTTGTGTTTTCTAGTAATAGCTTTAACATTTCCATAATTCATTTTAATGCTAACTTACAAGCTAACTACGTTACTTAGTCTATATTTAATAAATATGTGTATGTGTGTATATGTATGTGGTATTCATATTTGTTACTAAAAGCTTTCAATTTTGTGTATTTGTGTGAGTAAGATTTTTGTACGTGAAACACATAGGTAAGTAAGTGCACTGTAATTACATATCTAACGGGTGATTTTTTTGAGGTTAGGNATCGACAAATTTTGTTCAGCGATGAGGCTCATTTCTGGTTGAATGGCTTCGTAAATAAGCAAAATTGCCGCATTTGGAGTGAAGAGCAACCAGAAGCCGTTCAAGAACTGCCCATGCATCCCGAAAAATGCACTGTTTGGTGTGGTTTGTACGCTGGTGGAATCATTGGACCGTATTTTTTCAAAGATGCTGTTGGACGCAACGTTACGGTGAATGGCGATCGCTATCGTTCGATGCTAACAAACTTTTTGTTGCCAAAAATGGAAGAACTGAACTTGGTTGACATGTGGTTTCAACAAGATGGCGCTACATGCCACACAGCTCGCGATTCTATGGCCATTTTGAGGGAAAACTTCGGAGAACAATTCATCTCAAGAAATGGACCGGTAAGTTGGCCACCAAGATCATGCGATTTGACGCCTTTAGACTATTTTTTGTGGGGCTACGTCAAGTCTAAAGTCTACAGAAATAAGCCAGCAACTATTCCAGCTTTGGAAGACAACATTTCCGAAGAAATTCGGGCTATTCCGGCCGAAATGCTCGAAAAAGTTGCCCAAAATTGGACTTTCCGAATGGACCACCTAAGACGCAGCCGCGGTCAACATTTAAATGAAATTATCTTCAAAAAGTAAATGTCATGGACCAATCTAACGTTTCAAATAAAGAACCGATGAGATTTTGCAAATTTTATGCGTTTTTTTTAAAAAAAAAGTTATCAAGCTCTTAAAAAATCACCCGCTACATACAATAACAAATTGGGAAGGTCAGTGGTACATTAAGCCAAATATATGTATGTACTTACTCGTATTTGTATACGACACACGCGTGCTCCAACAACAATAAAATTGTATTTCCGACTTTAACATTTGATTTATTGACATTAGTTGTATTCATTGTTTATTTATTTATTTATTTACAGCTATGTATTTGTCAACTAAATAAGTTCTCATACTTGCTAATTCGCTTTCCTGCTACTTATTTGGTGTCTTATCTTTGCTTTAGTGCTTACACACACACACACGCGCATCTATTTTCTTGCATACCCACATACTTGCTTACATATGTATGGCTGCTTAAAGTACATTCATATATGTATGTATGTTTCCTCAAATAAATATGACTTAATAAATACTTGATTTTGTTTACTTCTATTCAGCTACTTAATAATTTCTCGCATTTTCCGCTATATCGCTCCTCTCTTCCTTTTCTATCGCCATTTTAATGCCTACTATGTACTGTTATTTGTACTTTTCGTACGACAAAATTGACAAAATGTATCCGTCCATTTGCTTAATCTAGTGCTAGTTGTTGTTGTTACTGTTGTTATTGCTGGTACCGTAGACGTGGTTGTTGTTGTTGTTGTTGTTGATATTGCATTTGGGCACTGCCCTCTCATCGGGCCCTACGCTTCGTCTCAGAGATATCTCGGTCGTGACATGCAGCACAATAAACTCATGTTCTTGCAAATGAAGTTGTGATTGGTTTTCACCGAGTCGAGTGCTGCACTGCGCTCTGTGTGACGACGACAGGTATGAGTAAGCATGAGGTAGAAGAAATATAAGAAAAGCAAATATATTTTCAGTTCATTAAGTTGCTGTGGTGATTGTTGAAAATAAGGTAATTTTGCGATGGGGGATTTTTCGGAATGGAAACAGATTTTAATATGAAATTCATTGTAAATAAATCTACGTATTCTTTCGAAATAATTCGTGTTCAATTGTTTTGTTGTTATTCTTATTCACAATGCACATATGTACATGAGCAAATAAATTAATTTAATTTCCTTTCTCAATTCAAACTCCAAATTTCAAATGAATTATTTAGCTTCCACTTCGTGCAGAGAAAACTTGCATTTTCTTGCCCTCGTTTGCAGGCAATACTAAATGAGACTAGAAATTACGATGTGGCACAGTTCATAGTTTATTGCTTAAAAAAAAATAATAAAAACAAAAATAATTTTTTTGGTCTTTTATAGGTAATATTAAACAAACTAAATTAATAAAATAAAATAAAATAATAAAGTGAAAAAATAAAAGGATAAAAAAATAAAAATAAGTTTTTTTGGTCCCGTTTAAAAGCAATATTAAACAATACTAGAATGTAGTGTTCAAATTTAAATAAAAAAATTAATATCAATAAAAAATTAAGATACAAAAATTAATTAAACAGTAAACAAAAAATAAAATGGAATTAAATAAAAAATTAAAATAAAATAAATTAAAGTAAAATAAAATAATAAAAAATAAAATAAAATAAAATAAAATAAAATAAAATAAAATAAAATAAAATAAAATAAAATAAAATAAAATAAAATAAAATAAAATAAAATAAAATAAAATAAAATAAAATAAAGTAAAATAGTCCTTTGAAGTACCCAGTATCGATACCTTTGAAAATCCGGTGCTGTCGATCCTTTTGAAAATCGAGTTCTGGGTACTTTTGATATCGATACTGCCCAACACTACAATTTTATATGGGAAAATTGATACTGTTTTTTGGAGAATATATATCTTATGGAATGTGTGGAATTTCCATAAAAGTTCTATCGAAGTTAAATTTTATATTGTACAAAAAAAGGACCAGCAAAACTAACTAATCAAAAACCACAACAAAAATTAATGGTTTATTATTGAGGTGTCCAAATTCTGCTGTCACAGGCGGGACAAATTTTATCACGGGTGGCATACGACCAAGTTTCTTCTTGAAACGGAGCACCTAAGTGTGGTCCATATTAAAGAGATTAGTAATGATCACTGTAAGAGGCGATATACATGATCAACTGCCCAATTTTTATTTATCACAATACAGTCATTTTAAGAGTAACGTTACTCTGCAGATCACAGGATCAATTTTAGGGGTCAATTGTTACACCAAATGAAAGTCCCCCTATTTATGTATTATAAAGTTATGGGGGCATGAATTACTTGCAAACTTATGCAATTTTATGTGCGTTCTCTGAATGCACTTTCGCGCAGTGCATTTGATTGAAATGAAGTTAAGGTGATATATTTCGAAGATGCCTCAATGATTTGCAAGTTTGCTCCTGGCCTCGAGATATTTTTGTAAAATTGGTTTTATGGCCAAGCTAAGCTCAAATTTAGCTTTATTTTGGTGGAATCATGGTATCTAAAAATTTATCTCCTGAGCTGATTTATAATGTGACTGAAATTTCTATGTATATATTTAGGTATATCGGGTTTGTTACTTAAACCCGCTGTATTTTATTAAATGTATAAGTTAGGCCACGTATTCAATAACTCGAGATCTTTCACTTCATAGCACAGCCCATCAAGAGCAACTTTCCCATCGCAAATTGCAAATTAGTTGTCACCCTGAATTTCAAAGCTTTGGAGCATTAAACATAGGTTTGAAACTTTAAACTTGGCTTTTATTGTAAGTCTACACCATAAGAAAATAATTGTGACGATCATTGGCTGCACAGGATAAAAAATCTCTAAATCTCTAAAGTAAGCAGCCAGAATATTATAAAAGAAGCGAATAAAGGATGAAAAGTAAAAACACGCGCTAGTTATGAAGTTTTAGAAGAAACCCTAAAATATTAAGCGAAAAAATACAGTGTAATCGAACAGCAAATAAAATATCAGCAAAAATAAAAAATAGTTTACAACACAAAGCTATAAAATTATGAAAAGTTATGTAAAATAGTTTTCATAACTCTGATAGTAGATACTTTGCGGAGACACCACCAATGAATGGCATTTTAATTGGAGCTCACCCAGGCGTATGATTAATATTTAACGCAGCTAAACAACACACATACAAATACAAATTTACAAGAACACATATGTATTAACATACAAGTGCATTCATACATACATATGTACACACACTAACTAATACATACATACATACCACCAAGTCGTGTGCGCCTTCGAAACTGTTTGACGATTTAATTATGGAGATAAAATGCAATTATAATTTGTAGTTTTTTGCAGCATAAATTTCCATCATGTACCTACGCACATACACATCTGTGCCCGCCAATCAAAGTAGCTTAAGTGACGTTAAATGTTTTGAATTTTAATTAAAAAATAATCCGTTTCCTTTGAAAATTTTTATATATTTATTAAGCTTCTATTTAAAAGGGCATCTTGAACTACACTTATGGCTAGTTAAATGTTAAAATATGGTTAGGGAACCCATTGAAATGTTGCTCTATAGGGAAAAGAGTCTAACCAAACTTAGGCTACTTTAATTGAACGGCACATACATATATGTGTGTATGCATAGATAAATATTTCTACACAAATACATAAACTATGACCACTTTCGAGTTTCACTAAACCGTTGCTGATTACTTTGATAAATGTTATGGTATCCAACTTGTTAAAATAATTTTCCCAATCAACCGCATCCATCAGTGTCAGCAGTTTGCAAGGGACGCAGTCAAGCATGCACACTAGGGTGTTCGATTGGTTGCTTTTTTTTTCGAAAACCGGTTGTCGACTTACTCGAAACGTGAAAGTTGGAAAACAAGAGCTTCTCCATTTTCAAATTAGAAAAAAAAATTTCATTCTACACTTCGCAACTTCTTTTTCACAGTTTGGTAATACAAAACACAAATTTGTTTTAATATTTTAGCGCCTTGGGACCTTCTGTAATCAAACCGATAGCAGCAAGCACCTCTGCAAATGCAGCTACAGCCAAAGGTATGTAAACGTAAATTTCTTAAAAAAACAAATTTAATTTCAAATTGAAAACACATTTCTGTGCAAAAGATAATTTAAAATCGCATGGAAAAAGCAAAAAGATTGAAAAAGTCATCACACTTTTCTCGTCTGTAGATTTTTAAAACTGGTTCGGATAGAGTTTTGGACTAGTGCGGAACTATCGAAAAAGGTATGCAGTGGAGGGCAATTGACACTTCCTAGGACATGGCAATATTAAATTCACCAGCTACTAGCATACAAAAGAGAACTTGTCATGGTTCTAATTCCCCAGTACAAAACCCGGTCGAAACTAGTACGTTTCCCGACAGGGGAAAAAATGCAAACAAATACTTTTTACATCCTAATATATGTATATTAGACTGGGTCGATTTTGTATGGCGGAAAATAAAGGTAATTTGATTATATTGTAATAGTAATATTTTGTTATTTTAGTACTAGAAAAATATTAATTGGCCACAAAAGATTAAAGTAAAGCATATCTTTAGCTCGAGCAATTGATGCAAAGGATTAAATTTTTGAAAAAGTAACTTTGGTTCCTAATATCTAGACAATACGTTAACCGATTGAAGCAAGCGATATATCAGATTAGAGGCTATACAATTTACTATCTCGCGTTCATAAGCTATTTTGCCATAAAAATTTAAATCGGCGATATATTTTGAAGGCATACGCAAAAAATAATATTTTCTCTTACATACAAATTTTTAGTATCTCGTTAATTCAGTAACCAAGTGAATCAACTTAAAAAATTGCCCGAGCATCATTTCATATGGTTTGGGCATTTGTACCGCTGCCGTATTATCTTGCTAAGATTTTAACGAAGGAAAATATAGGTTTGCGAAAATGTTTCAAAATTCGCAAACTCGAGCCAATTTGACAAAGCTGAGGGTATAATCGAAATCAGTGCCTTAAACACACCCTAGAAATACTAATACTGTTCTTGCCTTCTTTTGTATGTAGACCAGCGAAATAATCAATAGAAAAATATTTATGTTTGTTGAAAAAAGGTAACTTTAAGAGGGTTTCTGGTTTACTGCTGTAATATAAACACTAAACCGTTTTCCTAAGCCTTGAATTCGTAACAAGGATTCGTATTAAATATCTGACTTGCATGCTTTGTTACACTTGATGGTCGATGCGCGAACTCTTACGCTTCAAATAAAAGGATAATATTTTAAGGGCTTGTAATTGACCTTATAAAACAAAATCTTATCTCTGTTAAAAATGAATATAAAAATTTCGACCCGCCCTAATATATATGTATGTGCATAAACATGTATGTACTAAAAATTTTAATCGTTCAGAAGCGCTGCAGCAGATATTATAGCATTAACACTTAGTTAGATGTATGACTCTGAATACGCAGAGATATATGTGAATATATGTATGTATAAATATCTATAAAACATCGCACACACGGAAATACATCGCCACAGCTGCTGCTATCATTATTGCTATTCCATCAAGTGTGAGTAATCCCACTTCAGTGTTGCATTCTTCCTGCACAATGTCCAATCGTATCTACCTTAACGCATAATACTTTACACACATACATACATGCACACTTATGTACATATTAACATTTCCCCATTCGTACAGCTGCACTTTGCTAAATTCCCCAAACGCTTGTTATACCAGCTACTACAAGTTATAATTGCTCTTTTGTGTTAGCGTATTATTTTTCCCCCATTCTTCGTATTCGCTTTCTATTTCGCTTTCATATTGCGGCAATTACTCACCCAGATATGTGTCATGTTGTGGCATATATTCTTGCATCTCCGACAATAGCACCGCTATGTCCTGTGAATCCTTTGTAATGCTGCATAATTCCTCTTGATTGAAGTCGGGCGTTATTTGTTTGCATAGCAGTATTTGACTGATGACATTGCCGAGATTTGAGGGACCAGCGCGATTTTCTGAAAAAAATATGATAACTACTTTCAGAATATTTTTTTTTTTTAAATCAAAATAAGAGATTTTTTGGGTTTTAAAATTAAATTAAATTGCGATTACGAAACTATTTATGAAGGAAAATTGATTTCCACATAATTTAAAAATTTTAACCGCTATTATTTCGAGATAAAGAGATACAGACTCCTCATATTTTCTAGAATTTAATGATAGAATAATGAGCGAAATTTATTCAATTATTTTTAATTTTAATTAAAGAATTAAGCGGGTTTGTATTTTTCGGTTGTTTCAAGACCTTTCGAAATTACCTCGGGTTTTTCCAAATTTATGGACTTTTCCAAATATTTGTCAATAAGTATTTTATTCGGATTCACCTACGATTTTTCTGAGACCTTTTGAGATTTAATTTTTTAAATATTCGAGAATGTTTTTGCGGTTTTGGATTTTTGCGTGATCTTTGGAATTTCTTTCGGACATTCCGGAGTTATTGTCACTAACGTAAATCTTTCGCGTCTCAGGCCAGAACAGTCCAGACATTGGCAGTTTTTCGGACTTCGCTCTGTTTAATGCACCCCGAAAGTCTTAAAAATAGCTCTCGAAAGCTACAAAAAATTCAGTCAATTCAGAAAAGTTCAGAAAATTTCAAAAAAAAAATGTCAATAGATTATGTAGGTACCAAACATAGCCTCTTTCATCTCGAAATTATATTTTAAACAAACATTTCCACTTGCAGCAAAGTAGTTAAATTCCTAGCGCATGAAGGCTTCATTTTAAATTCTTACTATAAGTACACTTCATTGAGAGTTTTCAAACCACAGCCATTTTTCTCATTACAAGCCATTAAATAAAAACTTTATCACTATTTATTTTCCTAACTACAAAACATAAATAAAATTTTAGACTGTCTCAGCACTAACTTTACAAGTAATTTTGTAAATAGTTGGCGTAAACGATATCCACTGAAATCTTAGCAAAATTGAAATTTTATGTGCAAACATTCTAGAAACTCTCGCTTCGTAATGCACAAAAACACTAAATTATTTTACGCATTTTGTGCATCTCTGTCGTAGATGTACATACATATGTAGTAACGGTAGTGCCACCCCTGCAGAAAAAATTATCAATTGATAAAAAATAAACCACTTTTAGTTAGCTTTTTTGTGGGATTTTGACAAAATATATAGCTTTTATTTAACTACAAAAAGCTAACTTGAAACTAGTTGAAAACTAATGCAGGAGTCATGCAGACATAATCGGCAGTTTGTTTGCTTTAAAAAAAAATTTCTATTGAAATATCCTCTGCATTTCACAAATGCTTTTTCGAATTCATGACAAATAATTAGAAGATCGAAATATTGTATTATCATTTTGAAGTTATGTCTGACGGAATGCGAATCTGGGACCTACCTACAAATAAGTAATTTTAAATAAAGTAAAATTATAAAAAAAAAATTTAAAATTATTTACTTTCTTATTGATATTTTATGTCCAAAAGTAGTAAGTTACAAGTTAATCACGCGTTGACTATTTCACGGCCATCGCCATTGAATTATAGTTAGCTTTTTTCAAAGAAAATATAGAGATAATAGTGACTTTTAGTTACTTCCCAATCAACTTTAAGTTAACTTATAATTAAATCATTTCCTACAGGTAGTATATGTATATCAACTATGTAGCAATGGAAGTTTAACCCAAATGCAATCAGTGCACGTGCAAAGCATTTAAATTACAAGAAAAGCAAACTTTTGCAATGCGACCGAGTCAAAGTATGTATGTATGTGTTGTTGTTGGCGCACTGCAGAGAGTTGCTCTGAGTGCTGAGTGAGTCATAGCCAAACTGGTAGTGAAAGCGAACGTAATGCGCAATGAACTTGAAGAAGTTTGCAATAATGCTTACAACGAAATAAGTTATTCAACTAAATGGCAAGTCGGCTCATGCGCATGCACACTTAAGTGCGTACCATTTGATTGTAAATCCGCTACTTGACTCGTCGAACAAATAAAATTAAAATAAATTCCGATTTCTGTTGGATTTGGTTGGAAAATCACGAATCAAATTGATTTGCTCGGCAACGAATAAAATTTTTGTTAAGTATTGAGAATTTGATACACCGTTAAGAAATTAATTTTATTTTTGGATCTGGGATGTTACTAACCGCAACCCTGTAACACAGCGATAATGTCAAGCTTGATTAGTTTTAAACAGGGACCGTGAAAAAAAAGTACGTTTCATCGAAACTAAATACTCTGTCGAACGTTCACATTTCTAGGAGAGCAAAATGGTAATAAAAGTCTCTGGAACGTTTTGGCAAAGAACAAAACGGGAACAAAGTTATAAGGAACTTTTCCCGCGAAGAACACTCTGCGAGCTAAAGTCTCAGGAGCTTTCTGAGAGAGAACGAAACTGGAAAAAAATTTTCTCTGAACTATTCCCGAAGAAAGGAAGCGAGAACAAATTTTTTTTAATGGCGTTGCATTACTTTGAAATGTTTGCCCTCCGTTAGTTGGGCTCATTGGGGGTACATTCTTTCGCAAAGATTTCTGGCAAATCAGCCGCTCTCCGCTTTTATTTAAAACTCTGGATAGGCTAATTTGTTTGCTTTTGTATTACTCGCGATCGCCTATCAGGAGCACAGCATGCATACGATTTAACGATTTTTATGCATAAATATCGATGCCTGGAGTTCAGGGTTACCAAATTTAATTTTTGCCACAACAGCGATTTGGGCGGTTTTGCAAAAACATCGACGATATGTACGTACACATATGCCTAATAGGCGTACAGAAACGTACAACAGTTTCTTATACTCTTACACCGACAGCAATGAGTAAAAAAATCCAATATTAGCATGAAAATGCCAAATGAAACTTAATTACTTTTTTTTTTTCTTTAAATCTGTAGTGCTTTTAATGCTACGCCACTTCAATAAGACTTTGAAATGAGACTACCAGCGGCTCAGAAACTCTTTCATGTGAGTTTCAACTAATCACACTTTCGTGGATTTTATTTTTTAAAGTTTTTGTGTTCTTTCATTTTATGCTATACAACTTTTCTCAGTTATTTAAGCTTCCATATAATAAAGTGTGCATATATGCGCGCTCAAGAGATTCACTTCAATATCTGTCAGCCATAATAAAAGTAAGCACCACAAACCTTTCGAGATTTTCGCTGGCAATTGTACAACAATAAAATAAGACGAAGTGTGACAGAAAGTTCGAGTGCCCTTTGAGAGTAAAACTTCAAATCCTCAGCTATCTACATTTATGATGTGTGAACAGAGTACACATTGCAATGCACCAGCGAATGTATCTGTGTGAGTGCACATGTAAACACTTACCGTAATAACCGGACATGTCCATTGGCACCACCTGTATGAGGCGATAACTTTTTATTAGTTCGTGTAGGAAACGTTGCGCCAGATAGAAGAGCAATACGAGATGTGGATTATCGGTGAGTACACCTTCGCTGACAGCGCTGCAAAGAAAAGGAAAGAGAAAATTTAAAATTAGAAATTATTGACAAGAATTTAAATAAAAAGTATGAAGTATAAGAATAGCAAATATTTCGAATGAAAGTAAAGGAGTTTTCAGATTAAATTCAGTTGGATAAAATTAGGCCTGGTTTATTTAGGTAAGATTAGAAATATGTCATAAGAAAAAGTGAATTTAAGTGAAGTGAAATGAAGAAAACTTTCCAAGAACGCCCTAACTCAGAATTTGATTGAAGAATCTGTTCTTTCCCCTTCGTCTGCTTCCAGCATCACGACCACCATTGTATGCCTTCAGAGCTAGAGCGTTTCCATCTATTCCTACTACAGGGCCAAACCAGCGTGGCAGCACTAGGCCTATATGGTTGTACAGCTCATACAGCTCATCGGGCCACTGTCTGAGGTATTAGCCATAGCCAACGTGCAAAGGGCCCTAAAATTTCCGCAGAATCTTCAGATATTTTCATTGTCCATGCTTTTGCGCCATCCGCTAGCACGGACATTATGAGTGACTTTTGAATTGCCTTCTCAATCTAGATATGTGGTTTTTCGAGGATATTAGTGGTTCTTACTGCGAATTTTGCAGTTGGCACCCACGCCAGAAGAATGGGCATTGCTTACGACAAATGTTTTGGAAGCTACAGGAAAGGAAGAGAACTCAAAGTAGTAGAGCACCTTATCTGTGGAACATCTGTCGTTTTTGTCAGCTTGACGAAGAAATGCCAAAACACATTCTCTGCGAATATGACACTATCGCTAGTCGAGGACTAGCTCCCTTTGGTGGCGCTACCCTTAATCCATTTGAAATTTGGAACAAAACGCCCTTGGAGATGCTAGGCTACACAAAAAAGCCTTCCCATATAGGGCGGGGGCCCGCGCACAGTATACCACTTTAGAGGTCGCGGTGCATATGGCCCATAATAATAATAAAAATAATATCAATTATCTTCACTATAAACAAAATGGCGCAATTTATGGACATTCGTTTTTGTGATGGTGTCTGCTGCTCTCCGCCAACTAAATTTGAAATGCTGCTAATTTTAGATGCCTTCTTTAGTTTTTAGCTACTTTCTTTCAATAATTTTCAACGGGTCGCAATTTTGAACAGTTTGGTAGATTGGGGTCTTTTCTAACAAAACCTGAGCGCCCCGAAGCTGATTAAAGGCTACTCCGACGTATCTTCGTCTTACTTCATCCACACATACTGATTCTTGCTTACGTACAAGTTACAAAAAATAGATACGGAAAATTAATAACCACAACATACCCAATGAATGTGAATACTTACTTTATATTTACAGTTAGTTTTACGCAAGTGATGAGTAAACACGAATATAACATACCTATTAGCAGAGGTTGGCACTACTACATATGCCAAGCTTGAGATAAAAACGGGAGTATCTAAGAGTGCTTAATTGCTTTTATGAGCTTTCGTGCTTCCGCAAAATTATTTTGGAAATGTTTTAAAATTGTCCATGGCACAAAACGCATTGTACTAAACATTATTCAGCATCTTTTTTCAATATTATTGAATCAATGGATGATTTTATTGTTGGGCTTTATTTCAAAGTGCAGTTTCAACTAATATCCATAATTTTCTTCGTATTAGGTACCACATTCACAGCACTGTGGTTGCCTTTTGGATAGCTAAATAGTAATCGAGAAACAATTAACTTTCAAATAACGATCACTTAAAAAGTTTTTCTGCCTTTCTTAAGGCATCTTCTTCGCTTTCTTATTACACCACAATTAGAAGCTATAACAAAGAGTACCTTAAACAAAACAAGGTTAACGAGTGAGCGCAAAGTGAGCAACAAGATTGATTGAATCATTAGCGTAAACAAAGAAAACAGTAAAACATTATATAAAAACAAACGAAAAATAATAAGGCAGGCAAAAATCAAAAAGTGAGTCTAATTAAAACAAGTGACACAGAAGAGAAATAAACAAATCTTGTAAAAAAGTTTTAAGCAGCTTTAACCTTCAGATGCAAAAATGGAGAAAAGCAACTCACAGACAATAAGCAGTCAAAGCTTTTGCTGGGAAAGTGAAACTTAGAAGTGAAAAAAAAGCAACCAATGTTCAAGAAAGTTATATGAAGTGACATTTCATCACTCTGCTACTAAAAAACTGCGTTGTTTTCGCAAAATATCAGAGGAAAACACAACAAAGTTAATTTACTTTCCAATCAGATTTTCATAATCTCAGCCGCAGGGCAATCAAAATTTTTGTTGATTTGCAAGGAATTGAATTCGTAAAGAATTTGCAGCTGCACATACATACATAAACAAAAATCAACTTACAACCTTATGCTTATACATATCTATGTAGGTATGTTATACACGAAAGTATGTTGTGCACTTCAGTTTTTATTTGCAGCCGCCGGAATTTCTTCTCTGTTAGCCATTAAATTGGAACGTCAGGCTTACATCAGAACATTTGCTTTTTTTTCTTTACCTCATTCTTGCCGCTGCTGTTGTATTTCCTGATTGCGCCATTGACCTTAGCGCCACTGTGGCATACAAATTGCAAATTAATCCCTTTTACTCACTTCTGCTGCGACCTACTATTCCCCATGCTATCAGCGTTAAGAGGCACCCGCTAGCGCAGGCAAAATTTCTCACATATTTTCTTAACACTCTTTGTTAATAAATGTGTTTTAGTTTCTTTTATTTCTCCATATCCATTTTTTGCCATGGATTTTGTTGCTCAAAGCTAAGCCACTGGGTGTACAAGTTGTTGTGGCTGGCAATACACGCAGTTAATTAGTGAGCACTCGACTAAATTGGCATTAAATGAACATATCTACAAGAGTTTCTGGTAAGTTGTTGGAAATTATTAATGAAAACAACATCGCAAGGATCAATAATTTTCTTTTCGCACCTTCTGGTTTTACTACTGATTAAAATTATCAAGCCTTGCTTAACTGACTTATACACTTGAAGATAATGATTTCTATTCGCTTAACTCAGGTGTGAATTGATGTAGTCGATGTAAAGTAAATGCAAGTTCATAAAGATCAGCATCCTTCTCTAAAAAAAAGAAAGAGCACATGCTGAAGATACATTTATCTAAAGAATTTAGGTATTTTGGCGCTATCCCTAATGACAAAACTCTCGACAATCTCACATATTGAGGTGCAGTTCCTTTAAGGACTCGAATCAAAACTCATACACAGAATCTGCTACACCAAATACAAGCTAGCTGGATGTATAAAACTATTTCCAAACTAATCCCTGCATATGCTGCCACTAACCGACGGAAGAAAATGGAATTGAAGTCCTCAAAGTCTGCGCACAAGGGTTGAGTGTCATCTTCCTGTTTTCATGACAGTGCGTTCTAGACAATCGAAACGCGTCATAGATGTACATATATCTGAAGTAGGGCTGTCCCTTAAGCAACATTCTTGGAAATTTCTTACTTGGGGATTTTCTTTTGTGCTGTCATAAAAACAGCAAGTTGGGTGAAAGGCTTCGCATGGTTAGTCAATAATGTGTACAAAGATCAGCGGGGATCCAATAGGTATGGGGAGTGGTTGCAGAAGTACCCGACCTAACAAAGAAAACACAAAAATTTTGAGAAAAAATATATTTATTTTTCAACATAAACTCCTGTCTGCTCTGTCGTTGCCTTCTAGGTTCTTATGACAGGCATCCAGAGAAGAGAGCTGGGCATTGATTGAGTCACCGAGCGTAGTTTTATCTTGCATTCATGAACTAGCTTACACTTGTTAGCAGGAAATTATATAACCAGGTCTGCTGCCTGGACGTCTGAGTAAATCACCGTCTTTTTCTTAGTAGCACTCTTATTTAGTGCCCCGCAGACCTCACATATGCCCACGACTTCAGCATGAAATGTGCTAGCATGGTTTGGCAGCCGCAGACAACGCTTTAAAGAATTATCCTCGGAAACGGCTCCTCCTCGGAGTCGATCTCGGACCCGTCAGTGTATGGGTTCTGGATGGAAATCGCACAGGTGCATTCAGACTATATCTTGGCTTGACATTCAGTATAACAAGTTGGCTACTTAACCACTGTTTTTTTGTCTGAAAAAAAAGTTGGTTTTTTTGGTTTGAAAAACTGAACTTCTAACGGACAAGCACAAAAGAGAATTTCATTTCGGTTAAAATTTTAAAAACTATACAAACATAATAAAACAAATTAAGGTAAACAAATATTTACTTGCATTAAAGGGAAAAATCCCGATAAATTTGGGTGGCAAAAAAAACAGCATTTATTTAAAACACAACAAATTTGCAAATTGCCAAGTCTTAAAGATGGCATTGAGTTGAGCATTTGATTTTTATTTCACTCTTTATTCACAATAAATAAGGGTTTAAGTAAAACACACACAAAAACTGCTTCGTTGGCCATAACAAATCATTTCTTGTCTTTCTTTCTTTTGATCATCTAGACGCCTAGACGTCCATCGGAAGTGCGAGTATATTGTTGGCAAATAAAAATCATTTCATTTGAGCCAAAAAAAAATTATTCATTTAAAAGCGTAAAATGAGCAAGAATGAACAAGCGCAACAAAATGCATGCCAACATAAATGGCAATAGCAAAAAAAAGAAAATATTGGCGTGCAAAAAAATTTCAGCAGCTGCTGCTAATGGCTGTAATGGCCTTTCTGCAGCAGCACGTTTGGCAAAACAATCCAGCACTTTTAAAAATTTGTACAACGTTTTTGTCTGGCTGTTGATATTTATTTATTTTTTTTTGCAAGAGATGTGCAATAATTTAGTCGCCAAAATATTAAAAGGGTACCGCGTAGGAGACATGTCGACAGTGATCTTAGCTTAGGGTTTTTTTTCTTTCTTGGCATTGACCTTGGCATTGACATTTGGGCACAAGAACAGTGTTGAAGGCAAGAAAGAAGTTTGGCTGAAGCAGAAAAATGCCAAAAGTGGTTGAGTGGCGTAAAAAAATGCGAAACAATAAATTCTTTTGTTTAGATTTATGATGACTATTAAAGCGAAAAGCCTGC